TTTTTTTTCCCACAAATTTTGTGATTTAATGCTAGATTCCCTGGTCATTAAGGCAAAAAGATCATTGAAACACGTATTTTCTCTAAAGCTGCTTTGAAACGATGTGTACTGTGAAAAGTGCTACACAAATAAACCTGAATTCCTTGGGAATTCCATACACCCTCCTGCTCTCTTACCTCCTCTCAACACCAACAGATTCACCTCGCTGTGCACAGGGAGGTCTTTCAGTATATCCACCACCTGCGCGTGGCTCAGTGTTTGCACATTCTGCCTGTTAATCTCCTTTATCACATCTCCTTTCAGCAGGCCTCGGCACCACTGCTCATCCAGGATCATTTTCACCTTCTGCCCCAGCGGACAGTCTGCAATGGCAAAGCCAAATCCTCCAGGTCCCTTCACGATTGGCACGCTCACCAGCTCCGGCTGTAGCATCCCAGTCTCGGGCCTGTCGTTGGCACCGCTGCTGCCTCCTGGAAGTGCAGCGATCACCGGCCGCCCACTGGCGTCTGTGGTTACATAGTGAAGCTCTTGGGAGGAGCCGTGAAGGGCGTCACCTTTGACCAGCAGTGGCTGGCCGTTGATGAGGGGTACGGCGGTTACGATCTCTCCTGTTGTGGGTGGAGGTGGAGGGGGAAGGTCCTCGCTGTCGGCGTCCACGTCAGGGGGGAGCGAGTATCCGCGACAGAGGACCATGTCCACATACTGATTAACTGGGATGCACTGGAACATGTGGACCACATCTGCGTGGGTCTTGCCTAACACAAGTGTGCCGTTGATTTCCACAATAACATCACCTTGGTTGAGATAACGGAATTTGACAATGAGAGTGAGTAAAAAGAACTGAAGAAAAAAGTAATTACATCTTGAAAGAACAATTTTTCTAATCCCTTTGTGTTTTTTAAAGATACTAGATAAAAGGAACAGTTTACACAAAATCGAAAATTTGTCATTATTTTTTCACATATCTATTTTATATACACTGTTGTATGCTACAAAAAAAAACAAACAAAAAAAAACAAGTAGCTAAAAAAACAGGCCTGTTTTATAAAGTCTGGACTCCATATCTTGACTATATGGAACCTCATCTTCGCCCTATTATACTACAAGTAATATTGTAATTGTGTAACTGTCTGGACATTTAACTTTTCTGCCCTATTCATTTTTTTCCCTGCTTTCCCTAATCTGTTATATATGGGGTAGTCCTGTTTTATTTAATAATCTGAGCTATGTGTGTGTGTTTTTTTTTTTTCTGGTTTGTTTCTTTTGGGTGATGCCTTGTTATTTTTGTATTACAGTGAAAATTCGATAAAAATAATTATTAAAAAAAACCAAAACTGAGCAGGAATGCAAAAAAATGTACCAAACACACACATTAAAAAAAAAATCAGTTTCTTAAAGGACAACTAGGACATCTGAAGCGTCCACGTCAGGGGGGAGCGAGTATCCGCGACAGAGGACCATGTCCACATACTGATTAACTGGGATGCACTGGAACATGTGGACCACATCTGCGTGGGTCTTGCCTAACACAAGTGTGCCGTTGATTTCCACAATAACATCACCTTGGTTGAGATAACGGAATTTGACAATGAGAGTGAGTAAAAAGAACTGAAGAAAAAAGTAATTACATCTTGAAAGAACAATTTTTCTAATCCCTTTGTGTTTTTTAAAGATACTAGATAAAAGGAACAGTTTACACAAAATCGAAAATTTGTCATTATTTTTTCACATATCTATTTTATATACACTGTTGTATGCTACAAAAAAAAACAAACAAAAAAAAACAAGTAGCCTGTACGACTTGTGTACTATGTTCCAAGCGTTATTGAACTGGATCAGTGATTTAATTTTTAATGAATCGGCTGATCCAGTTCATGAATCAGACTGATTTGTTCACTCACTCGATCCACAGCAGTTCTCTAGTTAACAGCTCACTGGAATGGAAGATTATTAGTGAATGCTGATTTAAATTTTAGTCATTTTTGGTTATCATGTGGCTTCAGAAGACTGTTGCTGTATGGAAACAGGTTATTATCGTTAACTAAAACCATTAAAAATAAAAAAAAATAAATAAATACAAAAAAAATAAAATAAGATAAACAAATATTAAATGAAAAACTTCTAAAAATTAGAAACAAAATCAACTGAAAATTAGAAATGTTGCATTGGCAAATAAGTTTAAGTTGAAAAAAAAAATTGCTTAATGGAAAAAAATTAAATCAAACTGAATTAATAATAAAATAAACCTCAAGAGTATGATAATTATTAATATTAAAAACATAATAAAATGACTAATGCACAAAACAAAATTACAAAATAATTAACTTAAATTAAAATGAAAACTGAAAATGTAAAAAGTAAAAGTCAATTAAAAATAAAGTAGTAAATGTAGCCATTATTGTATAATTTGTTATGTTAAACTACTTCTCCTATCCCAGTTTAATGTGAGGAGACAACTATAATTAAGCCATTCTTAGGCTGACTTCCTTAATGATCCATAATGTGAATTGTGGATGTTCCCCTAAACAACTTTCACCAAACTAGATATCACTCACCAGAGGCCATCTTGTTGTCTTGTGCGGCCGGGCCATCAGCAAGAACGTTCTTCACCTGCAGGAACTCATCAGGTCGGTCTCCACCAATGATGGTGAAACCAAACCCCTGCTGGCTCTTCCTGAGAGCCGTGTGATACAGCTCCCCCTTCAGCTGGGTCAGGTCCCGTGTGAATCCGGGCGTACCAGCCGCTCCACCTACAGAGACAGAAGGAGATTAAGACACAGACAGACAACATCTGTGATGACTTCACATAAAATATGTACAAAGACAAAACTGAAAACAACTAGACATTGATACAGTAGACGAACGGTATATACAAGCACCAACTGCACCGCATGAAATGCTTGCTGATAAACATGTTTTCAAAGTGTTTGACAGATCCATCAATAATGTGTGAAGTCACAAATGCAGACAGTCCTAATATCATCAACCAAAGCACATTATGGGATGCTTTCCATTAATATGATACAAAATAGGGCCTGAAACACAAAAAAGGGTCTGAAACACACTTTTGAACACACAGACAGATAAAAGAGGCCTAACCTTCAGAAAAATGTTGACCATCAACCTCAGGATTAATTTTGTATGAAATTTGCTGTAACTAAAATGTGGGACATGTGAGACTACATGCTGTAGTTTACAGTAAAATAGATTTATAGATTTATTTATAATAGCATTAAAAAATTACAATAATTAAAAAAAAATAAACAGACAAAAACATATTTAAAAAATGGGTAACAGGGTTGCAAACGTAGCCTAAAATGAAATGTAATATGGTTGTTTGGCACAAAATGTTGGCTTGCAGTTATTGATAAACTTTCAACATAAATAAAAAGATTCTCAAATCTTCAATTGAGCTTTATAAATGCAGTCAATGTTCACTACAATTTGTGTAAAAAAATGTAGGAAATTGATCAAATGATTCATTTGTCTTTCCATGATGTTGCTTCCTGTGCGTCATAATTTTAAGGACCATTACATTATTTGCAAAAGGGGGAAATTAAGCAAAACATGATTGCATAAAATGTGGAAAACTAATAACCTCTATTTAGATTTTTAGACAGACAGACAGACAGATAGTTAGATAGATAGATAGATAGATAGATAGATAGATAGATAGATAGATAGATAGATAGATAGATTGATAGATAGGTTGATAAATAGACAGACATGCAATTAAAACCGGGAATCATTCCAAACATCTGGCATACAGTAGTAGTAAACAAAACCATTAACAACTCTCCCTCTGACAGCATAGACGAGAACATTTATCGCCAGCAGTTCAACCTCACATACCCATCTGATATACTGCTATCCTGTGGGTTCCCAGAAGGGCTGAGGGCAATGATAACACTCACATCCTCAATATTAGACAACCTTCAGAATCTCCCTTAGCACTGGGTGTGGAGCTTTCCAGCTAATGTTCCACTGCTGTAATTGAAAGTTTTAGGGGGAACTGTTTATGTGTTTTACGCCCATGCTACATGAAACAGTGTGTCATGGAATACTGTGCTCTCAGAGTTCATCACAAATCACCAAAGTCTAGAAGACTGTAGGGATCACACTGTTTTAATGAGCTATCATATCGCCAAACAATAAAAGAAGAATCACACTGAGCTAAAGGAAGCTTGGGTTGTGTGTGTGTGTGTGTGTGTGTGTGTGTACGTGCTGTTAGAGAGAACGCTTTGATTGCATGTGCTGTAATGGCAGCTGTGAATCTCCCTATTACAGGAGGAAGGCCTGTCAAAACATTGATTTTGCCATTTTGACAGGACAAAGTAGAGAAAAGACAGTTTTCTGCTATTTGAAACTAACAACACACTTTTTGGACAATTTGTGGTTGTCAAATGTCAGTGGCACATGTCCATAGTCACACCTGCGGTTACTCTGCTAGGACACCTGTGTGAACATCAGGGCCAACTGAGTTTTTCCATCTGTTAAAATCATGTTGGTGAACCAGCGTTTGAGAAAGCTCTAGCATTGTGTGTCTGTAGATGCCACTCGATTTGTGATTTTGATATCTAAATGAATGAAACTTGATGCAGTCTCACCACTGCCACGGTAACTGAGCGTTTCAGCAAAGCAAAAGAAAATGTGCTTTTTCCCCTTGTCCTTCCTTCAACTCTTAATGCCCGAATAGAGGGTCTGTTACGCCGGTCTCCGTCCAATCAAAGCCCTCAGACTCACGTGTCATCTATTTTCCCCCTGTTCCTGTCATCTCTGCATCGACAGCCACTGTTCACTTCAGTAGATATGGATTTTCTGGCCTGAATGGACAGCAGTCGTTGTTTCCAGAAATTCGGAACGAATATGTAGAAGTAAAGCCATGTTTTAGAGAGGGACTGATCAAAGAGAGGCAATGTGAATGCATGATGGATGCTAATGTTCTCTTTTATGTTAATGCAGCTTGTGATGTGCTGCAAAGCAATCTCTATAACATTTATACTCCCATCCATCCACCCTAAAACAGCACTCTTCTCTTCCCCGAGTTTTTCGCTCTCTCTCATATACGCACATGCTCAAACACATCTATAATACATCCAGTGTAATGGAAGAATCTTTAATTCATCATATTGAGAATGGCAGATGACTCACCGTTCTTTAATCTTATCTTTCTGTCCCTGTTTCCCCCTCACAATCATTCACCCAGTGAGGAGCCTGTGTACAGGCTCCTCACTGGGTGA